CTTTTCATTATGTGGTCAGAGTTACACACACACACACACACACACACACACACACACAGTGCCGAAGCACTTATAAGGGTTCTTTCACATGTGCGTTGAGAATTTAATGAAAGAGCAACGCTGATTAACGCTTTTATAGCGTCAACAAGGCATTTGGCAGGCATATTCTAGGCATTAATGAGGCGGCAAAACCGCTTGCAAAATGCCCTGCAAGTAGGGGAGTGTGTTAAAAGGTAAAGTGATGTTGTAAAGAGACGTGACCAGCAGTGGCCACACTTCTATTTTGTTCGAGAAGTCGCAGCTGGGCAGACTTGGGTCATACAATTCTGGGGGGTAGCCAAGTGCTTGAATGAGCTGTGCAACATTTATTTCAGACATGGCTGGTTCTGCCTGATACTTACAATGCCTGGCAATGGTATGACTGGCACTGCTAAGCTGAAACTGGTATGACTGGCACTGCTTTGGATGGCACTGATAACAGCTGGCACTACAGGGTGGCATAGGTCATGCTGTCACAGGTTGCAAGTACCTGGCTAAAAGCTGCCCTGTTGCTTGCAAAACACTGGCTGTGTGCAGACAGGAAGTGGCATCTGCACACGCTCTGTCCACTAAGTCTATGATTCCCCATTCTTCTATGGTTGCAAAACCTCCTATGCCTCTCCTAAAACACCTGTGCATCGCTTCTTAAATGCCCGAAAAATGCTATAGGTGCACTGACCAAGGGGCATTTCAATATACTTCAAAGGTGGCATTTGTTCAGCGGTAATGCCTCCAGAACGCAACACAATGCTAACGCCCATGTGTGAACAGCACAGGGCGGTTGCTATTGCTTTATCCCACGTGGGCATTAATAGGCAGCCGAGAGGCATTAAAAACTCTTCTCTAATGCCTGGTTTTAACACATGTGTCAGAGGCCTTATTTTTTGCAGCCAGTCATGAGATTTATATACCCCTGCTACACTGCACAGTTAGGATGATTCTTCAACTACTTCCTAGCTCTGCTTACTACCAGTCACCTTCCTGTTCCCTGGCTAGAGCTTATGTTCCTACTTTATTGCCAATGAGGAGGCTGGAGGGCGAAACATGAAACGGAGAGCTCCAAACCTGATAAGAAAATAGGAAAGGCTCACAAGACTGGCTGCCCAGAATTACGAATCCTTCCGCATCAGGACAGTTCACCTGTACGTGTTTCAGCTTTTTGAATTAGCTGCTTACCAGGAGTTCAGCTTTAACAATAAGAAAATGCTATCTCACCTTCAAATCTCGATGTACAATCCCCATATCATGCAGGTACTTCACAGCGTCCAGGATCTGTTTAATAAGCTGACTGGCGTCTTTTTCTGTGTAGAAGCCTTTTTCTACAATCCTGTCAAACAGCTCCCCGCCAGACACCCTGCCACAAGGAGATACTAGGTCATTCACGGCAATTTTGCTAACAGTGATTTGTGCTTAAAGTGGACCTATCATCAGATAGAACACTTCATATTAAGTGCATGGATGCTAAGCAATCCAGATAAGAGTTGTATTAATATCTGTTATTTATATCTGCCTAAACTTCAGCTTTAGTATGTTATTGAGTACATAACTTATATATATGAGTTACATTAATTTTAGGCAGTAACCCCTGACTGCCAGCAGGGGGCGATGACGCACAACACATAAACAAAAGAGAAAAGGCACGCATTAAATAATGTTGTGCAAAGAAATGTGAAGTTGCCCCTAGCAACCATATTTCAGTTCATAATCTTGATTTCTGACTGGTTGTCATGGGATACCACACACTACATTTTGTCATTGCACCTGCACCACTTTACTGGGGTCATCATGCAATACTTACAGTTGCATTATGAGGTAAAGATGACTGCGGCTCTCATAGATGTCCTCCAGTGACACGATATTTGTATGTTTAATCCTGTCAAGAAAAAAATAAATATTTGGTAAGCAGCGGTGCAACAGATCTTTACAGCAACCAACATACCAAATCAAAATAGGCAATAAGAATAATTATGGCCAGAAATTTGAACCAGTTGTTGTGTCAAGGGTCAGATTTGCTATTAAAGGGGACCTGTACTGAAATGGATAAAATCACTTAAAAGACTGAAATACCGTAATTAACTTTCCTACTGAAAAAAAACTGAACTCAGGTTTCCTCCTGTCTGGGTCACATGACTGAAAATGTAGGCAATTGATCATGTGATCTTTGCTGAAAGGTCAAATTAGAATTTGGATTGGCCGATCTTGGCTTTAGCCGAGGTCACAAATGCCTACGCTTTAGCTGGGATCCGGGAACATGTCCCCTGCCAGCATGCCTAGAGGAAGACCCTTGTTTGGAAGCAGTGGACTCCCTACAGAGGTCCAAAAGCAGTGGTCTCTCTACAGAGGTCCCTACTGAGTTAGAGCTATAATGTTCCGATCAGCAAAGCACATGCTCCTTGCTAACTGCAAAATCGCTATCTCTGACTGAATGGGGGATACTGAACCTCTTCAGGGAGCCCCCTGCTTCCACACAGAGAGCAAGGGTCCTTTTCTACAGCATTAAGGAAGCCTGTCTCCTCCCCCTTCAGTCAGAGTTGGAGATCTTGAGGGCACAATCACACCATATCCAGTGCGTTCCGGCAAGGTTCAAGCTCAGAATGCACTGGATCTAGAGCTGCAGCTAACGATTATTTCAAAATCGATTAGTTAGCCGATTATTAAGTTCGATTAATCGGATAAACTATAAAATAAAGTTTAAAAAATGGCTCCAGTGTCTTCCAGCAACGTGCTTCTGAGATCGGACCTGTCTATCAGCAGCTGTCATCCCCCCACACCTGCTCATTACTACATCTCCCCGCGTCCCTGTGCCGATCGTGGATGGGCAGGAAATGTGAGGCGGGGAGGAGGTGCGGCATGTGGAGCGTGCATGCGAGCGGGTCTGGCAGCGGCGAGCGTGAGGTGGGGAGGAGGTGCGGCGCACAGCGTGTGGAGCCGTGAACAGGGCCAACTGATTGGAAGCCGATTAATCGATTATTGAAAAAGTCGATTATAATCGATTATGTTGATTAGTTGTTGCAGCCCTAACTGGATCGCATAGATCAGGCTGGGCCACGTTCTGGGGCGGGAGGGGGCGTGGCAGTGCCATTCAGGTCAATGGAACCGCAGACATGCCCTCTGCCCACAGTGCGATCTCCCGCACCAGAACGCGGGGTACAGGAATAGCCTCCTTTCTGGTGCACTGCGATCGGAACAAATAGTGCATGCAGCATTTTTTTCCCATTCACACTGCACCGGAACGAAGGGCATTGCTGTACCGCAGGCCCTAAAGTATGAGCTTTGCTGAGTGGAACATTAGAGCTCTGACTCAGTAGGGGTTGTGTTAGACCTCTGCAGAGAGACCACTGCTTCCATACAAGGGTCCTCCTCCACAACATACTGGCAGGGGACAGGCTTTTCTACTCAGGCTGTGGCTGCTTTCTAAAGACTATGAGGGGAATTTATCAAAACTGGTGCAGACAAAATCGGGAGCAGCTGTGCACGGCAACCAATCAGCTTCTCTCTTTCATTGTCAAATCTTAACTGGACAAACTGAAGAGAGAAGCTGATTGGTTACTATAGGCAACTGCTCCAGGTTTTGTCTGCTCCAGTTTTCATAAATTCCCTTCTAAGACTTTTCACACCTCTTTGCTTTGATGAACCCGGAATGTATTAAGTGGATTTAAAGTAAATTCAGTTGGACCTTTAAATGCACATATTATTGCAGGGCCTTGCACAGCAGTGTTCCTGCCCGAGGGCCATCGTGGCTACTATGCAGCACTCTATTTTGTGGCAAACAGTCAAAAGGTAAGCTGGCGTGCAGAAGACTTGTTGCTTGGAGAGGACTGTGAAAGCAGCAGAGGATTCTGGGAGATGAGCCATTATCCACAGATAAGCCACTGTTCTCCGCAAACGTCTCAACAATGAAAGGCACTCTTGTGCAATGCAGCAGTTTTCCTAGCAAAAGCCCCTGCATGTCTGAGTCATGCAGCTACACGCAAGGTTTTCTCTTTTCTCTCTGCAGCCCACGCATGAGAAAGTTGGAGAAAAAAAAGTTGAAGTTCCTGAAAAGCTTCAAGGTAAAAAAAAAACACGTAGCCGTGGGTAAGCTGCAAAGACTAAAAGAGTCAGGGTTAAAGCGGGGTCCCGGCTAGTGGGAGGATAGCACAGGCAGCTGCAAAAAGTTACCCACTGTGGGGGCGTACAGAATTTTTACATGTCTACGGAATTCTGCCCCATTCCTCTACGTACACAACAGGTTGTGTATTCCCTCCCGCAGCAATAGAGCCGACATTTACACAAAGCATAACTGAAGATTAGTAACAAGCAGAATACAGTTTAGGAGGGGGTTAGGAAAGGTAACGACTCTACTGGGGATGATGGTATTAGTGTATTGTTGAAAGCCTTGGTTCTCAACTGGTGGGACGTGACCCAAAAGTGGGTCGCGAACCACGTGTTTAGTGGGTCGCCGCATGCCTTCCACTTTTTTAGATGAGAGGCTCCTGTGCCTCCCCCTAGCGCAGCACTGTTAGTTCTCCTGCCAAGCAGCCATTCAAAGTATGCTGCCCGGTGCTGAATGTGAGGTGGGATGGGGCTATGGCCGCGAGGGAGCTCCATACATAAGTGCATTGGATTACCGCTCCCTCACGCACCCTATAGAAGTGACTGGACCGGAGTGACATCGCATTCTGGCTCCCGCCACCTCTACAGGGCGCGCAAGGTAGCTGTACAAGCAATGCACATATGGATGGAGCTCCGTCACAGCACAGCAGCCCACTCTGGTCCCCAGGCTGCGGATCCACTCCAGTTCCCGTAAGGTAGGGAGACTGGGTGGATCTTAAAAAATTATTTTTTAAATTAAATATTTTTTGTAGTGTGGATGTGTGTGTGAGAATGCCTATGAGTGTGCGAGGTTTTGTGTGTGGCTGTGTATATATGTCAGTGTTTTAGAGGGCTCGTTCACACTAGTCCCATGTGACTAACGCACTGTACCATGCAATTGCATTGCACCTACCGTACGTTCTGGGGCAGGAGGTGCGTTGGGTTGCCATTCATTCGAATGGTACCCCAAACACACCTCATACGCCTGCACTGGAAAGCGCAGTACCCTAATTCTGTGCATTCCATTGCAGTGCGACTTGGGTCACGACTTAATGCCCAAGGACAAATGTGGGTCCTGAGGTTACACAGGTTGAGAAACAAAGGAAAGTACAAGGGCTAGAACTCCACGTTTACAAAAAAAAAGCACCTGCCTTCCCCCTGCCTCCCTGACCCCCATGCTAATTAAAAAAAACAGGCTGGTGTCCTCTTCTTGCCCAGGGGTGGAAGTGGCCGGTCCTTTCTTCTGCACTGCATAACCCTAAGGGCAGGTTCACACCATCCGGAAAAGTAGCCATTTTTGCTCAGTACACATACAGGCTCAAGCTCTTGGTTGCGCTTTGCTAATCTCCTTTAATATCACCGCAGCCAACTGGTTTTCTAATAATGCTAAAAAATTCAAAACATCCCACTCTGTAACCACGTGTACAGAACGCCATCAGGAATGTTGCTTTTTGCGATTGGCTCCCTGGTTTTCCCCAGCAGCTTTTCTCCTATTACAAGACTGGGAATGATCATGTGATTATAGCAGGTAGACCCTCCCACTTAAAATAAATGGAATGCATGTGTCAGTTACAACACAACAGCAACGGGCAAGACTCTACAATGAAGTCTGGTAAAATCTTGCAATGCACTTTTGATCTGGTGAGGATTTCTGTTGCTCGGAAAACAAGTACAGTTACATTTTGAAGAACCACCCCAGTCCAACTGAACAAGGGTATCAATTTTAAAGGGAAGCTATTAAAATCAGTATACACTATGAGCGGAATTTATCAAAATGGATAAGACAGAACCTGGAGCAGCTGTGAATGGCAACCAATCAGCTTCTCTCTTTCATTTTAAAATCTTAACTGAACAAAGTGAAAAGAGAAGCTGATTGGTTACTGTGCACAGCTGCTCCAGATTCTGTCTGCTCCAGTTTGGATAAATTCCCCCCTCTATGACTAAATGTTTGTGGGCACCTGACCATCATACCAATATGAGCTTGTTGGACAACCCATTCCAAACCCGTGGACATTAATGTGGAGTTGCCCACTCTTTGCCGCTACAACAGCCTCCACCCTTTAGGCAAGGCTTTCCACAAAATCTTGGAGTGTTTCAGTGGGAATTCATGCCCATTCAGGCAAATGAGCATTTGTGAGGTCAGCTACTGATGTTGGATGAGGAGACCTGGCTTGTCGCTGTGCAGGCCACTTGAGTTCCTCCACACCAATCTCACTAAACCATGTCTTTGTGGAGCTGGGTTTTTTGCACAGGGGCACAGTCATGCTGGGACAGAGAAGGGCCTTCACCAAACTGTTACCACAAGGTTGGAAGAGCACAATTGTTTAAAATGTCTTTGTATGCTCTAGCATTACAGTACCTTTCATGAAGCATTGTTTCCTATATCAAGATAATTGATGGCTTAGCTTACAAAAAACAAACCAGATAATTGCTTCTAGTGCATCCTAGAGGCTGACTCTTTCCAGGTTCAGACATCAGCTATGACTTATGCTGAGGGGGAGCAGTGAACACACAGAAGCATATTCACCATTCACCATTAATGACTGCTCTGCTGAACCCGAGGTCTTTTTTATAGAGTTTGTTTTTCATCTTTAATTTAAAATCAATGGAAGCGATGGATACAAGTAAAAAATAATTTGTTTAAGCCAAGTAAAAAAAATTAAAAATGATTACAAATACATCTCACCCAGGGCACTAGAAGAGTACACATGAGATGACAATGGCAGATGACCAGCTAAGAGGTAGCGAAAGGCCAATCCCTCTAAATCCCCAAAGACTACATAAATCAGTGCATTAGAGGGAATCAGAGACTCGTTTGGGCCATTACCGCTGCTTTGGCAAATGAGGGATTTCTTAATCACGCTCAGGTTTAGACAAGAGAAATGCAGAGAGATTCCGGAGCGGATAACGGCATGCATGAGATCCGGCAAGGGAGGGAGCGGAGGGGAGGGGAGATTACAGGCTGCCTTACTAAAAAGATGTTGCACAGATGTCGCTGCTATTCTTAGCATTGCGGATCTGACAATTCTGGGTTTCTCTGGGTATTATTTTGCGTTGGCCCTGAATAATAAGATGACTGCCTGGTGACCTGAAAATTATATATCTATATCCTACATCCATCCTAGCTTCTCAACCAGCCATGTGTGTACCCCAGGGGGTATGCCTGCTTATTAAATGAATTTGACATAACAGTGCACATCTTTATGTAATATATAATACACGCTATGGATAAAGGTTTGTGGACCATTACATATGCACTATATGGTCAAAAGCATGTGGACACCCCTGCAAATGATTGAGTTCAGGTGTTTCCAGTGGGAGGTGTTGTTAATGCTGCAGCATACAAAGACATTTTAGATAACGGTGTGCTTCTAACCTTGTGGTAACAGGTTGGGGAAGGCCTTTTTCTGATGTACAGCATGACTGTGCTACTTTGCACAAATGCAGCGCCATAAAGACTTGGTTTGATGAGTTTGGTGTGAAGGAACTTGAGTGGTCTGCACATAATCCTGACCACAACCTTACTGAACACCTTTGGGATAAACTGGAACACTGATTGTGAGTAAAATCTTCTCATCACCATCAGTACCTGACCTCACAAATCCTCTTGCCTAAATGGGCTCAAACACCAACAGATACCCTCCAAAATCTAGTGGAAAGCCTTCCCAGATGAGTGCCACCTGTTATAGCTGCAAAGGGTGGACACAACCTCATTAACAACCATGGCTTTGGGTTGTCCAACAATCTCATAAAAGGTGTGATGATCACTTGTCCACAAACTTTTGGTAAAATAGTGTAAGCGTAATGTTTAAAACACATAAAAGTAGTTTTTATTATTTTATTTCAAACCTGTCAAAGTAGATCAGGCCAGATGTATGCCAATGCTCCAGGCTGATGGGGGTGTGCTGTTTTAGATGCCACAGCAAACCTTAATATTAATGGCGATTGTGCGCACCCCTAATAAGTACTAGACCAGCATACCTAATAAAGAGGTTGATTGCACAAATGGTATATACCTAAATTAGCCAATGGGAAGCATATATGAATATGCTTTTCATTTATTAGGGTGTAAAGGGGGCATTCCATTTAAAGCAGATGTGTATGCAATTGCTAACATCTCGTATAAGCCTTCACATGTTAATATAATTTCCAAAGTTGTTTTTAATATTTTTATAAATCTGCAGCAGTCATTGAGAGAATACCTGGTGATCATGTCATAAAGGTTAGTTTTCAGCGTTGTTAGCTTGGGGGAGACTACAAGTGGCCATGCAGACATACATTGTACAGGCATGGTCCACCGTTAGGGCCCAATCAGGAAGCCGGTCCTGAGCAATGATGTGCCACCAAGGCTGGAGTAAATTTACCAAGTCAGGAAGTGGTGGAAAAAAGGTAAAAAACTAATTTTATGGGGGGAAAAAACCTAAACAAATCATGCCAATTGTTTATAACATTGGCACCCATTTAGGGTCCATATCAAGATGAAATGAGTTTACAGAAGAACTGAACTTCAACAAGCTTCAGCCAAAGGCAACTGTCCAGCTTCTGAATATGCCCCATCATGCTAATCTTGTCCCTAGTACCCACTAGCTCTCATTTTTCTATTGTTGAGCACACAAACAACAGAAGAAACCGATTACACAATTGGAAACCTTTTCATTTTGGGCACTTTAAAAAAAAAAAATTCCCTTTGTTCAAAGGTCAGCAATGAAGGAATGATACCACGCAGCCCGAAGTGACCTGTTATACCCAATGGCGGTGCAGATCACACAGGTTCACAGGATCGCCATGGAAACTTGACTGTGCAGGACGAGGATTTATTTCATCCCGCTATGCGGTTTTATGTACTGTCCATTAAGTACAGGCCAGGCGAGCATCTCCTACCCAACAGCGAAATATACAATTGAGACAGATATACAGAGACTGTTGTGCCTGCTGAAAGATGTGCAATTGTATACGCACGCCCTTGCTGTGCTATATATGAAAATGCTTTATAGAGCTTGCAATAAAGCAGACGCTGTGCCACTGCCCCTCCTTTGACTGCTCTTTGGAGTGTTAGCAAAGATCGCTACACTGGTGACATCCATTTTGATTATGCATTAGGGTCAGGACTGGAAAAAAATATGAAATATTTTAATCAATATGGTTACAAGGAGTGGGATTAAATTTATGGAAATTCAATATAGAAATAGCTATTTATTTTTATAGTTTTTGACCAGAAATGCATGTTTGCTTTTTCATGTTTTTGTTGGTGTATCAAATGTAAAGATTTGTAGATTCGTAGCCAGGGGCAGGTAGGTTCACCAACAATGACTCTGCTTACCTGCTTTACGTAGATATAATCCCTAACCAGGTGACCTTTTGTTTGTGTATTATAAACAGCTGCCATAATTTTTTTAACTCAAAATATCAGTTGTGATCTTTTTTTTCCCCCACACCTCTTTGGATCTGCTGATTGATGTCAGCCTCTCTCAACCACTTCCTCTCTACATGGACTTTCTACAGTATCAGCTGCACATTATTGTTCTGGACCAGCTTTCGGATAGTGACCGCAGTGGACCATGCATGCAATATGTGCGTCAGCGTGATGATAGTTTCCACCAGGAGTGTGTGTGATGGGGTGACAACACAAAAGGAGTGGCGCTAGACCTTGGGGCAACATGTCTGCATGGACAGCACCAGAGAGAAGGCAAGTTTTGAACTGAGAGCTTTGTTTTGTTTTATATGCCCTAGGCGGTATTATTTTAATTCTAAAAATTTAAGCTGGAAATGAGCTTTAATAACTATTGAGATAGGAAATGACCCATGCACGATTTTTAGTACGTCGGCTGGCTCGTACACCTGGAATGTGGGAAAATGGGCAGCAAAGAATGAATATTGTGTATGAAATGAGTAGATATGACTGCCCTCATGTTCAAATATACTGTCTGGCCAAAAAAAAAGGTCACACGCTCTAATATTTCGTTGGACTGCCTTTAGCTTTGATTTATTGACCGCCTGCTTTCCAGCTCCCTTGTCCACTCCTCCCATACTCGCCTCCAGGACTTCTCTAGAGTCTCTCCCATCCTTTGGAATTCTTTACCCCAACCTGTCCGTCTATCTCCCACCTTGACTGCCTTTAGGCGTTCCCTAAAGACTCATATCTTCAGGGAAGCCTATCCCTCCTCGACCTAACCACTGAACCTTCACATTCTCAAATAATTCATCCCCACACAGCTCCCTCCTTATGTATAATTTCCCCCTCCTCTTTCAGATAGTAAGCCCTCAGGGGCAGGGCCCTCCTTACCATCTTGTATTGTATTGTAACTGTAATGTCTTCCTTATATTGTAAAGCGCTGCGCAAACTGTTGGCGCTATATAAATCCTGTATAATAATAATAATAATTATGGCATCGTTTCCATAGCTTATGCAATGACACAACATTTATTTCCATCCAGGGTTGCATTCATTTCTCACCAAGATCATGTACTGATGATGGGAGAGTCAGACCACTGCGTAAAGTCTTCTCCAGCACATCCTAAAGATTCTCAATGAGGTTAAAGTCTGTGGTGGCCAATCCATGTGTAAAAATTATGTCTCATGCTCCCTGAACCACCCTTTGACAATTTGAGCCCACATTGTCATCTTGGAATATGCCCAATGTACCATCGGGGAAGAAGAAAAAATCCATTCATGGAAAAATCTGGTCATTCACTATATTCAGGTAGGCAGCTGACCTAATTTTTTGGTGACATAACGTTGTTGAACCTAGACCTATTATCCGCTGGAAGGCACAGACCCATTTGCTTAGCTAATCAAGGTGATGACTTTTTTTGGCCAGACATTGTATACTTGTTCCTATGTATAGTTTCTAATTATACACTAACATTAAATCTTACTGATAAGATAATTTACATTGAGCTGACCTCTTGTACATGTATATATAAAAACACAGATAAGACTATAGTTTCCCTTTAAGGAAAGAGCAAAGAGCATCTGTCTTCTCCATCCACCAGATGCACCGCAGGGTATGATTAAGAGACGTCAGAAGCCTTACAGGGACTTGTGAGCTATATGTAGGATTCAGACTACGGATCTGTCATGTTAAGATCTAAAGCCCGCTCACTCATAGTGACCCCCGGATGTTCTGACGGGAGCGGGTTTGTCTTGCAGTGAAAAAACAGCTAAAGTTCAAGGCAGAGAGAAGAGAAAAGAAAAAGGAGAGTGCACTTACTTCCTCAATACCTCTATTTCATTTTCGATGCTGGTTTCCTTCCCTTCCAGAGCTTTTTTGGGGATACATTTTATTGCTACCAGCTTCTGCGTTTTCTTCTCCTCCGCAAGGACTACTTCAGAAAAAGCCCCTCTGTAAATAAAACAAGGGACGTTTAAACACATTACTACTATTAAACAAACATCTGTACCACACTGTTTTCTAGTAATACAAGCTGGGATGTAACTACAATTTACGGGGCCCCATGGAAAAATGTTGATGGGCCCCTCCAGCCATGCAAAGAAGTGTATACATATACCCCAAACCCAGAAATACCAGTTTTTCTTGGGGCTACACTAGTAAATCAGGGCACTGTAAAACAAAGAGGAAGGGACATTTTGGTCCTAGCTATATACAGTAGCTTTATCTTTACGTTAACTAGCCGATGCCTATGACAGGTTTACATTAAGGTAGCCCTTCCCTGAGCATTGGTCTGCTATAGGCTGCCCTTGTCTATACAGTGTACTGAAGCTGTAGTCTCTTTGAATTATGCCGTGCTCAGGCTAGAAGACAGTGGCTGTAGGACAATCTCATCATGGTTGAATGGAGACCTTTGCAGCTATGGTGACCTGTGACATATTGTAAAGAGGGTTAATGATCCAAGAGGAGACCTTGTCAGGGTTGCCTTGAAGGGCTTGTTCATATCAGTGATTGAGATGATCTGTCACATTGGAATCACTGCCTCCTAAAAGATGTTACATGTCATCATTTCCATTACAAATACTAAACAAAAGGGGTTTTTATTCCTTATATAACGGCCAAGTCCAGTAAAAGCTTTTTTCCTTTTTTGATAGTATGGTAAAAGGTTAGAATTTTTATTGCTGCTGGTGTCTCTACTGGTGAGATAATCCCTCATTTTTTTCCTGGGACACGAGAGCAAGAAATAACATTAAGGAAAGAGGGAAGGGTGTCTCATCAGGACATTTAAAAGCAAACTTTTAGAGGACTTTCCCACCGCTTTTTGTTTTTCTGCCCCCCCCCTTTCCCGTAACCGAGACAAGAAATGCGAGGAATCTCCCCAATATTAACAGAGACAACAATAAAACCCAGCAGAGGCCCTAACTTTTCCCTACGGTATCCAGAAAATAATTGCTGGGACTTTAAGTGCATGTATTGAGGACACTTCAAGCTAAATGTTTATTCCCATTCAAGTCTAAATGGACTTGAAACAAGTCTAATGACAGTCAGACGGAGGTCAACTGTAGGTCAAATGCACCTGCCAATGAATCTGGAATGATCTCGAACTGATGCCATCAACACAAGCGCAAAGCCCGTTGACATAGACCCTAACGATACCAGGAAGGGCCATGTATATATTTCCTGTGTGCCCCATTGGTAAACTCTCAATCTAATGGAATCTGGCACAGATAGAAAACGAACATAGTACACCAATTTATTCAGCTTACAAAAAGCTGCTGCTGAACTGACTGTCAGCTCTCGTCAGTGCATGCATTTCTGTAAGTACATTTTTTCACATTTTGTGAAAAGGGTTAAAACTTACCCTTTAAACATGCTATTGAAAACGGTTTAATATGTCTGTTCTATATGTGCAAAAAAAATACATAAAAAGGGTGTTGTCATAGCTCGCCATGGGATAATGGGAGGAGCTATGCAAATTAGTCCTTAATGCTTTGATAGCCTGCCGGAAAAGGACTCGTTTTCGAGCATGCAAGTTCCAGGGCTGTCAACCTTACCCTGTCTACACTACTTGGCGAGTCAATGATCTGAAATTGGTTGGCACACCTGGTATAGTTTTTTTAGGTTAGTAAATCACTAACTAAAGAGAAGCAAGACTATGGATGTCGACCTCAGAGATTTCACCTCCAAAACCAAGTTGACAGCAATTCTGATATTTTTACTCTTATGGAACAAAAAAAGAGCCTTTATGGAACAAAACAAAAGGCCAACTGTGTATCCAGAACTGCTGGTTTATTGCAAAAATACATTCTACAATACAGAGCCACTCATTCAGTGCACGGCTGCTTTAAATTTGTATGTCACCACTGCAAAATACCATCGTTTTTATGCAGTGGGGCTTGGAAAGTGATATACTTACAACCAGATGTGGAATTCTGCTATTTTTGGCAAAGGCAGCTGTGTAATTTTGGTAGTTTTTGCAAATACGTTTTTTCTATTATTGGAACAAATTACAGAAAGGCAGTAGCTACAAAATGGGCTTATTAAAAACACTAATAATCCAGGATTCAGCAAAAGGGGCCAGGCTATTGCAAAGAGCAGTAAATCAGATCCCAATATCCTAATGATTGTGTCACATAATGCAGCTCCAGGCCATCAAAAGCTGATATTTTCTCAGCCATTCAGGTAGCAGGTTTCCCGCAGTCCAAGATCAAAGTTATGGGACCCGTTATCAAGAAGTCATACAAGTGACCGCTAGGTACAAGGAGTGACCAATAGGCTTAAAGTGACACTTTACACAGGAGTTGAATCTTAAAAATACATTCAAGTACCTTAACTGTTAACAACAATGTATCTGATTTGTGTATCACTCGGCTGTAGATAGTCAAAATCATCTCTGAATTGGTGCCGACACTGTCCTTCCTTCTGGAGGGGGGCTACTTTTGTTCCGCATGGTCCCTGTGTGTGTTGTAAAGTAGTCACCGCTCCTGTGATGGACTACAATCTCAATACAAATTAGTAAACAAAATGTGAGATTGTAGTCCATCACGGGAGCGAGCTTGGAGCGGTGACTACTTTACAACACACATAGGGACCATGGGGAACAAAAGTAGCCCCCTCCAGTAGGAAGGACAGTGTTTCAGAGAAGATTTGAGATCTATAGCCGAGTGATACACAAATACAATACATTTCAGTTAATAGTTAAGATACTTAAATGCATTTTCAAGATTCAACTCTTGAGTGTAGTGTCACTTTAACGATTGGAGACCCCCAACTGGATTTAGGATATGACCAAGAACTGATTCATGTTATCACTAGAACCACCTATGTATCTCTACTGCAGGCATGAAGTGACTACTATAGCCAAGGAGTGACCACAGCTATAGCCCAGTAATTACCACCATGGTGCACACATGCCTACAAGTGATACAAATTGGAAATAACAGCATCATAATCATGGCTAGACTTGGCTACTGACCAAGACAATGCTGCCACTAAAATGGGCTGACATTACCCATACCTCATTGGTTAGATCCCACCAAACATTCATGATATGCCCCTTTGCACTTCTTGCCTGCCTCCTAGCTTTTCGGGTCTATCTGCTGCAGTTTCTAGCCCTAATAATATTGCATGGTAGCTGGCATATCACGAGCTGTATGGAGAAGAAAATTAAAAGTAAAAAAATGTCATGTATAAAAATACAGAAAAAAGAAAATGCTCTTAAAGTGTATGTAAACACAAAACCTACAGTATTTTCAGTATCTATGCCATCACTGCTCACTGTAAACAGTTTTTGAAGCCATTTTTTTGTGGGTGGATCTGTTGCAAAGTGTCTTAGTTGGAGATATTGTCAGTAACTGCATTTCCTGTTGCTGTCTAACAATTCTAAGCCATTGCCTCGCCAATGATCAGCAATGGTGTCAGCCTGCCCTGAGCACATCTACAGTTGGCTCACATTTTGGATTTTCCTTTACTTTCATTGATGGTTACCATTAGTGGTGAGCCTAGGCTTGGTGTGAACCCAGTTTGCCTGAGTTCACCCAAGCCCACGTAAAATGTGACTGCCACTCCCTCCTCCCGACCTAATCAGTTGCAGATAGGCGCTTTTCCGCATCCCGCAGCTATACATCACAGTGGGGCAGAGAATGCCCGCAATGCAACTGTCATCACCGACTAAGCCGGGAGGGGGGAGTGGCAGTCACACTTTTGAGTGTGCTTGGGCATCCCAAGTTCACGCCAAGCCCTGGCTCACCAGGACAAATAGAGGTGGTGGAGTAAAGCCTATGCCAATCTAACTAAAAAAGCTTGGCCCTACATCCACTTCAACACTTGTGACCTATAGAAGATTTTCACTCATGATTCTATTGCATTATGGCACCTGATGGGCTACAAGATCAGCTCCTTCTTCAAAAAAATTCAGTCAAGAAGACCTGTATCACTTTATTTCACCCAATATAAAAATTTGCTTGGTCATAAAAGA